TTTTGGAGCAGAATTAGATTGGGAAAAGCTGTGGCGGGACCAGGTGTTCGGGGCCAAGCTGGCGTCGATGCCACTCGCCACCACAGCCGGCCATGCCGATCGATGTTTGTCTTCAACGCGGGAATGTTTTAACTGATCCTGCTAAATCCTAACTAGACCATGTCATGTCATCTTATCTGTCGTATTATTAACCATATTGTCTGATTCGATTTTGGCATTGGAGCTGATGAAATCGACCGAAACATGTTGTTTGCAAGGATGATGTTCTAAGTGGAGTGATGTAGGCTCCTCTCGGTCTTCTGTCGGCCATCTTTACAGAGTTGCTAGTGACGTGTTGCCAACCAATGGAGGAAAAGCCGGACCTGAGAATCGGGGTCGGCGGCAGGGGCGGCAGCCCTTAAATAACATCACCAAAAGACCCAACGAAGACACACTGGCTACACTACGTAGTTATACTAGTTATACGTAGTTAGTCAATTACTTGTTTCTGCAGCTCAAAACTCCAGCAGGATCAGGCCTGTTTGATAATGAGCCCAACCTTGGTTTGTCCAAGAAAGACTGAAATTCCTTCATTGCTAATCGTTTTCATGGTTCCGAAAGAAAGATGCAGCAAGTTTGTGAGTGACACCCTTCAGAATTGGATTGGACATCCAGATTTCGATGTCAAGGAGATTCTGCCTGTCTGAGCCCATGAGTCCCAGCCGTCCACCGTCTCTCTCAGCCCGGCGTCCAAGACGTCCAGTTGCGGTAGGACGGGCTTGGGCCGCTGCGACCACACAGCCACGCTTGCGCGTCGGGTTCCGTGGACGTCTCGACGTGTTTCTGTTTAGGGGGGCCTTCTGGGGACCGTCCATCTTTCTTTCGGACGCCTCTCCACATCAACGACAAAGCTCGGAGAGAATTGTCCGAACAAGTAGATGCTGCTTGGACAGTTTTTCTCTGACTTGCTGCATGGACCGTCCACCAACTGCTTTTGAGGACTCCCCCGCACACTGAACGCGGCTCTCCGAACACACCACGAACCGACCGACACGAACGTTCCGAACGTAAACCACGCCCAGCACCGAGACACTGCTGAGTCCGCGTAGGCGAGATCCAGGCCCAAAGACCTGCTGGCGAGATGCTCCAACAGCGGGCGACGGGAAAACCGACCGATGAGGAGAGGAAGTGATTTCTCTTCTCGGCTGGCCATTTTTTGGGAGGTCTCGTCCTCCAAAAGCGAGGGCAATCATGTGAAGTTAGTGAAATCAAGGAAGAGAGGTTCTCGCATTTTCAGGATCTCAAAACAGATGTTTGCAGGGAGGTTCTTGGAAGGTCTACAACCTCCAAATGACGTTGAGCATGAGCTCTTCGGTGGCTTTCAAATCAATCATGTTTGGAACAATCAGAGCTGTTTCTGGTCGTTTGGGTTCCATTTTGCAACCATTTCCCGCTGGCCCGTCATCAACTACCCTGCCTGGCGCTGCCCACGGGGATCTGCGTCTCCTATAACAAGCACAAAGAAACTATATATATATATATAACTCATTCCCTTCCTGACATGGAGTGGCGGGATTGTCAAATCCTATCACTGATTCCGTTCCTGACATGGAGTGCATGTGCAACAAGCTTTGGTTGCATGGACGGGTCACTTATCCACAGCATGCACATCATCAACAAAATAACTATGGCAACTATGGATATGCGTCTTTGGTCACATTCATTCCGCCATCTATACACACACACTCCCCAATTTCCGTGCTGAAAAAACGGGGCAGGAAAATCACATTGAGACCATTTAGCTGACCCGACCATCACGCTGAGAAAGCTATAAACTATAAACCCGAATCTTAGAGAATGCAGAATAAACCTCCGGGTCAGGCCGTTTAAGGTGAGGTTGAGATCAAGATCAACGGCCTGCGGCAGCCTTTCACAGGCCGCCCCTCAAACAAGTGGTCTTTCTTCTTGCAGACTTGTCTTGGTGCAATATGTTGACACGTCTAATGTAGACTGTAGGGGCCACGGTTCAAAAACATGTTGTCCGTCTTCGTTCATCGCATGTAGATGCTCCGCAACGCACGCGGCACCTTGGCGCGTTGCATGACCAGAGTCACCTGCCACGGACGTGTTCGCCCCGCTGTGGCGGTGTCTTTTGATAGAGGGAATCCTTGCATTTTGAAGCCCCAAGGTAAAGGAACCTAGTGAACATCACACAACATGACCAAACCCATTCTGGGACCCATACACATCCAACTTGGCAGTTGGTCACAACTAATATCCAGGCTGCACTAGCCACTGGAGTCCCACTGGCCAGCCATGATGAGTTTTTCTGGACATCCAGAACTCCGGTAGATTCACTTTTATTCATTTCGACTCCGCAATGGTGGACCGGAAGCCAAAGGTGCACTTTCCTTTTGAAGCAACGTTTTTTTGCATTGAGCTCCTGCTCAAGCATGTCGCAACGCTCTGCCCACTCGCACGCACCTTTTTCTATCCTTCATCCTCCCAAGCCGCGATCGGCACGAAACAGCGATTTCTCCGGTTCTTCGTTGAAACGTCCTCCGTTCGCCGCAGGATCGGCGCGTGGTCTTCGCCGAAAACTGATCTACTCGGGTCCGCTCAGGTCGCCCCCCGATCTGGGACTCCTCTCGGACGCTCGAAGCCTCGCAGCGGAGCGGCATCTGCCCGGCTCATCAGCTCAGCTTGAGGAAGCATCTTCCAGGCATTCAGTGCTGGAGTATTGAGACAGTGTGTCAGTGTCCTTGGCAGGGATATGTCATGATCTGTTGGTATGTCATGTCCCAAATTTGGGACGATGGAACTTAGTCAGTCCATTGTCCGTTTTTGAGGAAAATGGGCTCCTTCATTTCTAGACAAGCCCTTTCAGACCAATTCCCACAACTCCACCCTGGCGAGTTCCCGAAGTTGTTGCACAGGCCTGTCTCATTGCCAAACTCCTACCTGCTCTACGTACCATCTACTTCTACTCAGCATTCAGCGAGCAAATTGATGACCCCTCGATCTTCTTCAGCACCATCTCGCTGGTCCATGGGCCACGGCTCATCGTCATCATCTAAGATCTTGCAAACATCCAACACCCACTGAGCTTCTGTGGGATCCTTCAGAAGAACCGAACACATGGCAGGACTGCAAGGACATGAGCTCCGGTGGTGTTTCGGTACGGCCACCGACTGTGGTTTTGTCGTGAGAATGACCAAAGCAGGTGACTTGAACATCTCCAAACCACTGGAGACTCCCGGCCAACAAACCTCTTGCTCAAATGTCTCAGACTATCTCAGACTCCTTGACCATTCTAGTGGCCCTAGTGATTTGTTTCTCCGCTTTGATCGTTCGCAACGGCACATGCCTTGGCTTTTGCCCAACCAGATATTTCTTTTCAAATGGAAAGCAGTCGCTTCTGTGTCCTCCAAGAAGTTGCGGAGCCGCTTCCAACTGCCGCAGCCCGCCAGAAGGATTGCTTCCTATCGGTTCATCGGTTTCTCCCCAAAGTGGATGTCTGGTTTTGCATATTCAATATATATATATACATAATATAATATTATATTATATTGTATTATACTATATTATATTATATTATACTATACTATATTATATTATATTGTATTATATTATATTGAGAGGTGCTTTGTTTTGTGTTTTTTCTAAGGATCCTTTGGGAGTTACTCTTGGGCTCTCTTGGGCATTTTCGGTTTGGGCAGTGCGGGGAGTTGGTGGATGGAGCCAACATGGGTGGAGTTGGACTTCATTTCAAGCAGGATGCAGGTTTTTGTCACCACCGGAGGGACTGGACACCTCCTGACCATCCAACTATTCGTGGGCTTTAAGACCTATATACCTTCATTCTCTGGTGCTCAGTAGGGAGGAAAGCTCCCGAGTCACTCGGAGGCTTGTTTCGTGATCCCAAAGAAGGGGGTTGTGGTGAGACTCGAAAGCCATGGCCTTCGACCAAGAGCTCAAAAGCTGTTTTTCAGAAGTTCTTTCAAAGCCGTTCTAGGACGATCCGGATCACAAGAGGCCAAAAGAACCTGAAGTCGGATGGACACAGGAGTCTCATGTGCGATCTCATGTGCGAAGGATTCAGCTTTTGGGGTCCACAGTGAATTGTGTTTTTTGCATCACTCTCGCGGAGGTTTACAAAAAAGTTCCAACAGCACCCCCTCATACACAGGGTTTCCTTGGGCACCAGCCACCACTGCCCTGGATTTTGGATTTCACTACTGCCCTAAGGTGCTGCTAAGCCACCACTACTCCCAATATTCTATTGATTGCTGCTTAGCAGCGCCTTTTCACTCTTTCTTTCCTCGGGGTCCTCCAAGTCTCGTGCAAAGCTTTCCGAGCTGCTCCAGAAGACGTGCCGCCACGTCCGCTTGAAGCGCAGCCGTTGGAAGTCGTTACTTTGGTAGTTGAATCGCGGAGACCAACCTGGTGGGATAAGAGATCTGGAGCACGAAATCGATCTCCCCAATACATTCTTCTTGGATGCGTGTACCGGAAGTCACCCATGGAAATACCCAGATTCATCCGGATTGCCAGGTGGTGGAGGATTTCATGCTGGTTCCAAACAAAACCACCACCGAACTTCGTCGTGTGGTCCAACGTTTGAGATTTCATAGATTTCCAGACATCTAGCGGTGGCAAACTATTTTTCTGAGCGTTTCTATGCCAAGCTGTGACTGCCTGTCAAGTCCTATACCTCGGGGTCCTGGTTCACTTATTACAACTTAACCTTAAGACGCCACACTAGAGGCAAATTTGATGGCACAGCCATGGTCGGGATTGGTGAAACACATCAACCGGCGAATGATGCAGAACTTAATACAAGTCATACATGTGAATACACATCATTGCGCTTTCTATGACTTCGCCAAATACAACATGATTCTGAAATTTCTGAAATCACTAGATGTGCTTTGGCAAGTACAAGCAGGCGGCGCGGCGGCACGAGTACCAGTCACCAGAGCTGGCTAGGATGACGGAGAAAGGCTCTGAGCACCAAGCTACAGGAAGCCCCTTCAACCTAATAGCGATGGCCTCCAACCTAATAAGAACTTCTTGCTCTTCCTTGTGCCTTTGCTTCCTCTCAGCGACCGATGTTTCGCTGTTTCCGCGGTCCCACCTGGAAGCAAAGCATAAGCGCTGACGAGCGTGAGCACAAATGCCACCGAGCCGTAGAACAACCAAGCTTGCAACAGCTGTTGAAAGGTTCCTGACAGCTGTTGCGATGCATAGGCTCACAGTTCTGAGTTCGGGAAGTTGGTTTCGTCTATCATAAAACACAGGCAATGAACAGTACAAAGAGTGAAAGCTATGGACTGGACATTCTTTTTAAGCGCAAAGACCATGCAGAAGGTCCTTCCGTCCAACGCAAGTTTCAAACAAGTTTCATTCAAGAGAACCTTAAGAAGAGACAGCGCCAAAAGCACAAAACAACCAGAAGGATCTTCAAATCCTAAGGTAAGCACAAAATGAGAAGCTGCAAATCTACCTTGCGGGATTGACAGGTGGGTGAACATTCTCTCCACATGCCCCTTCTTCTGAAGCTCTTGTTTCACTGGGAGCTGCCTCCTACGAAATTGAGGAATAATTAATTTTGTTTGGTTGGACATCTAGCAATCCGTCAGTTGGCTCCTGATTTCAGCGTAGACCTGGAAACATAGGCAGTGACCAAAAAGCAGCCCAGGACACCACAAAGCAGCAGGATGGACAACGAGCGAAAGAGCCTCGTCTTCCTTATGGTGTAGCGCTGGCATGTGGGGAATTTCGAGATTCTCTATAAAGGCTTGCCATGACGATGAACACCGTTTGCAACCGTTTTGTCAACCGTCGGTCTCGACCGGTTCGGCTTTAGCATTCAATCCAACAGCGAAGGCCTTCGCCCACGTCCAGTCGGAGTGGACGTCATGGACTGCGTGGTATGTCCCGTGCGAAGGAGGGTGCCCTGTTGGTTCTTCACAATGCACAGTTGCAACCATAGAAACTAGTTTGTCCACGGAGAGCGGCTTCCACATATAAAGATCCCTCTCTCTTTCTCTCTGTCTGTCTGTCTATCTGTCTGTCTTTCTATCTATCTATATATATATTATGTGTGCATGGACGGAGAATAGCTGCTTTTTATATGGACCATATTGCGTGTATGATTGCCGGTCGCATAACTCTGGTCGAAGCTGCTCGAAGTCCCACTTCGTTGCCAGGTATTTGCCGGTGCAAATGTCAGTGCCGCGCGTGGTCAGCACCACCAGCACACTGGACGCCACCAGGCTGCAACAAATGAACAGGCAAAAGTAATTCGCGATGCCAAGCAAGTTGTAGCCTCACTTTACATGTCATGTTCGAATATGTTCGACAGTCGACCCTGGGCCAGCATCTTTGCTGAGAAACATGCTTTCGCAGGATGCCCCCGAGCCCTGGAAATCAGCAACTTGTTTCCTATCCCAAATTGCTATGTGGGATCTACGCTATTTCAAAAGAGACTCATGGTTTCCATAGGGAGGTAGAAAAGTAAATCCTTCAAATGTATTGGGATTCGCTTCTTTTTCATTCTTTTTCCCCAAGTCATCCGAAATTTGAACCCGACACCAACTTTGACAGGAAAGAATGCAAATCAAGGCTAATCCTTCCAGGAAGCTTCTCAGGACCGGACCTTTTCCTCAATATCATTCGATGGCTATTTTCATATATTTCCATGGCTATTGATGAGTTTGGCCATGTCTCATGTCATGTTGGTCAAGCCAAACGGTGGCTCGCCATGTTGACAGACTGTCGGCCCTCTTTTCGCAAGTTGTGAGGTGCTCAGCCTGGGGTCCTACACCAGATAACCCACGTTCAGCCGCAGTGCTTCTTCGACGCACCAAACGATGTCGCCAAGTGACCACCCTCTAGATCAAGACAGTGACCGTGGTAGTCCACATTCAAAGTCCAACTGGCAAAGTTCACTTCCTCAAACCAGTCACTGGGTTGCTTGGAAATGGAGGCCTGTTCTATGTTCTATCTACCTGATGCAATGTGTATGGTGTAATAGCATGGAATAGCGTCTTGAGTTTGTAAGGGACCCAAGCCGTCTCATTTCAGCAAGCCTCATCAGCACATATGAAATGATACGGACATGTTGAAGGTCTTTGGTGCAACAAGCACTTTCACAAGCTTGGCAACAAGAGAAGCAAACATCGACAGAACACTGAAGACTTGCCTCGGTCAGACAAACGACAACACGTCTGAGCGCGTCTTCAACTCACGGAGTTCTCCCCAGAGACTCGCCCCCATTCTGTATCCACTCGCAGCAAGCGTCTGTACAACAATCAAAGAATCAATGCAAAAAAGTTCCTGGTACAGGACACTCGCAGAGTGGATACCACTTCAAACCAGGACCAAGTCATGAGTGGTACCAGAGTGGATATGTACCGACTGAAGGTCCTGCTGGTCCGGTCGAATGGCGGAATGCGAGGAATGCGTCTCTTTGGCGCGTCGTCTCCGGCGAAGACGACGGGGAATCATTGAGTCATTGACCTTGTTGAACCTGTGTAAGCATTGATTGGGAGGGGAAAGTACCTCAGGAGCGGACATTCATATTTCGAGGAAGGACGTCTACCATCGGATCTGCAAGATTCATAGGGGGAACAACCATTATTTTTCCAAGAAATCGCCTCGTGGAATGTCGAATTGCTCATTTTGACGACGTACTCCGGTCCGAGTCAAACAAGGACCAGACCTTGCGCTCCATTCCAAGACCAGGTGGTTGTGGGTCCCCCATGCGAGGCAGGCGTCATTCTGCACGCAGAAGACGTACTCTCCCAGCGTCTTGGCGCCAGCGCCTCGAATCTCTTGGTCCACAGCAGTCTGATTCACTTGCACATCGGTATACCAGAGGTAGAGGTAGGCAGTTGTATCTGTCAAGAGAGAGTAGTGCCCAATAAAGAAGAGCCAGATTGGACACCACTCCTTGGATTTCGGATGCGACCTGCTAGCTGGGGAGGCAGCAACAAACGTCGGTTCCCTATCAGTGTTCAAGAAATTTCAAGAACGCTCGAAGGGTTTTTGAGGTTTGCATAGGTTTGCCGTTCTTCAAATGTCCAGCCCTGCATCACCTGAGAATTTTCTTTCAGTTGGTGTTGGATTGACAAGGTACAACTGCAAGGGTTTGACAACAGAAAACCCCTTCCCCTGATCATTCGAATCGGTCAAGAAAAACATTACAGAAGCAAATCCAGGATGCGGACACCACTAGGTGCAGGATAGTTGCAAGAACAGGGACCTCATGCACAGGAGGGATGCCCATTCAAAAGTTTCTAACTTTTCCTTGAGCAGTGAAATGCTGCGTTCTTTTGCTGACTCTTTGTGTACTTGGCTAGGGAGATTAGTTCCGGACGAGATCGGGCTAAGTCACCCCTGGTAGTGGCAACCTTCCACAAAAAGAAAAAAACCGAATACTAAAACTTCCAAATGCCAACTCTCACGCAGGTGGGGAAGTGGGTCAGCCAGGCCTGCTTCATAAACTGCCCTATCAGCAGGATTCCATTCCCTTGCTGCTCTTGGACTTCTGGCCAAGCCTTCCAAACCCACCCCTGGATGCCAAGTTCTGCGCATCAAAAGGCTATTGCTGGACAACAAGCCTCCTCGAAACCAGGGGGGCTACAATAACTCCAATGGACGCAACTGCGAGTTGACCTGCACCTACTTCCACACCTTTAATTTGTCATAGGATCCAATACGTGCGCAAGGCAAGCTCCCACAGACCAAACACCGAACACCCGTTAATTGCCCTCCCCACATCCAATTTCCTTTCAATGACTTAAAGTGTCCTGACCAACCGAAGCGGTTGAGTGATGTTGAGTGACACAACCACCCAACGCCTTCCAAACCCACCCAACGCACGCCTCGTCAGCCTCCTTGATGGTCTCAAAGATCTGCTGTGAGGGCCCCGCCGTGCCGTTGGCCGACACAATGCGGTCCCCCACCTGCACCCGGAAGGAGCCGTGCGCCAGCGCGCTGCTCCCAAGGCGCGCAAACGGCAGGAGGGACGTATGAAGGACGGAGGCGTGTTGAGTCACTACCACTAATAGCTTCTTGTTACTACTAGTAAGGCACTTGTTACTAGAAGCGATGCACTTGTTCCTAGTAGCTTCTTGTTACTACTACTAAGGCACCAAACAACAGGTCACCTAAGTCGTTGGACCACCACGAGGGCCTGTCAGCAGTCCTTGGTGAAGGACGTTCTGCAAGGCCAACTCATTTTTAGATTCATAGTGTATAGTACAATTTAGTGTATATAGTGTATGTATATATATATATAGCATGCTTAGAACATGCGTTTTCACAGGTTCCTCTTTGTAGTCCACAATCTTTTCGACCACTCCTTCCAGCTGTGCACCTTCAACCTCCCCCAGGTGTGGAGTTCTTCAGGTGGGTGACAAGCTGCAGGCTTTTTCGTTGAGCCCACATGAGCGAGATTGAAGCCCAACGTCGAGCCCTATTGGCTCCGGCCCGCGCACACACAAACATCATCAAACATCTCTCAGCCTGGTCTTTTTCTTTCCTTCCGTCCGCTCCAGCCTGCAGTCTTTGCTCCGGATTCTTCGCATTCCACTGCTCTATTGCACCCCCATCAAGAGATAGCAGCAAGCAGGGATCCTGCATGGCCAGAATGCGGTACTCTGATGTGGGTTGAAGAACTGAAGAAATGGCTGAGTTTGTTGCACATGTAGTGGTGTTCACATTTTCGTTTCAAGGATTTCCAGGACATTTTTAGAGTTTTAGAGGAGCAATGGCATGGTAATTATTTTCTTGTTTGTTTGAGGGCAATGTGTGTTTTTTTTGTTGTTTTTAAATGTTTTTTTAAATGTCTTTTTCGATGGCACATTTTTTTGGAAGGCAACCGGGGCTTCAGCAAACTGCCCGGAGCTGTTCTCCGCTCTAGTAGATTGTGGCAATGCAGCGCCAACAAAACTCGAGGGCCTAGCAACCTACCATTCTTCGTCGTTGGGGTGGTCTGGAGGATCTCTTGCATAAAACATCATAAAACAGTGCCATATATCCAACGAAAAGCACTCCAGGGACAAACAGTGGGATCCCTGTCTCACCCATGCAGACACCGGGTGCCTACCTGCAGTTGCAAACACCTCCAAGTTCCAGTCCTTTCTACAATTCCAACCAACCAAGCCGCACAGTGTGCCCCTGCAAAGAAGCACCGCGCGCGTTGCCCGCGCGCGTTGCCCGCGAGCGGGTCCTTGGGATCTAGATGGAGATTCTCCTCGAGACATGGCCCGATGAGGCGAATCGTCGAACAGCCGAACTGGGCATGACGAGTTGGAGAAGACTCTTCGAAGGTCCACTGACCTTCTGTGACCTACGCCATCATTCTGACCTTCTGTGACGAAGACAAAAAGCAGAACATGTGAGAAGTTCAACCATTTTTTGGGTTCGGGGCTGGTGGCAAACATCTCTGCATTGACACCATCTTGCGAATACTGGACATCACCTTGAAGTCATAAGACTCTCCCGAGAAGAGACTCAGTCAGTATCGCTTTGCCAACTTCGGATCCCACATCGCAGCTGTGCCTTGAAATCATACTCCAGAGTGAAACCGAAGCTTCCGCTACCTCAGCGACCCCCCACCCGGAGAATCTAACGCTCCAAAGAATCGAACCTCGAGGCGAAGTGAGGTCAGTGATCCATCTGAATTGAATTGTAAACTCATTCATTGCACAAGATTCGATGGCCTCCACCCTAATAGCAATGGCCTCCACCCGAATAGCAATGGCCTCCACCCTTATGGCAAT